AAAACTAAATAGCTTCTATTTGGCAACCACATATTGTTAAAGAGAACCACTAAATAGTTTTTTTCCTTCTCCTTTTCCGTGTCTTTATATGGTCTGCACTTAATCTTAATATCCTATTTCAACTATGCAGGACAAAGGAAACGCTGAAAAAACGTATACAACAAAGGCTATCCAAACCGCGCCCCAAAAAAACCATGCCTCCTTCACAGAATCCCCCACGAAGAAGTAAGATCCTCAAACGTTATAATACACAACTGCATACTATGGTACAGGCAAATATATACACAAAGAAACATATTTACTTCTATGTGGATGTTCTTAATTTTACATATCATTTACATATCCATAGCCAAAAGGAATTTTTTTTACCTATAGGTTTCATCGTGTCATACATCATTTGCAGAGCCACGAGCGTAGAACCTAAACACCATATCCAACCAGTAGCAGAAGTAACCAAAGGTCCACTCATATTTCCTACATTATCACTTATTGTTTTTCTTCTTCTTTGACTCTGCTTACACAGTGCCATAGTAAACAGCTTCTTTGCCTGTTAACAAGTATGCATATTTGGAAGCAATATGAAAATAGCTCTCTTTCTAATGCTTCAAATATGGATAATAATATCAAAATGACCCTGTTCCTAATGCTACAGATATGGATGAACAAAAACGGCTCATCATTTTGCAACATGAACGAGGCTATATTCAGTGCACCAACAGGACATGGCAACACGTTTGTGGACTTTTAAACGTTGTCACTCTTGTGTACACTACATGTTTATCTCCACGCTTTAAAATATTTGTGCTCCAAGTCAGATCAGGGTACCAAACAAATCCTTTATGTATAAGCATAGTAGCCATACGTGCAATAAGTCAATGACAATAAGTGATGCACATTATACCTTCAAAAACTTTCTTATGGCTACCACTCATATTCTCCTACAACTAAAAAGAAAAAAAGTAAGGCCACCGTTTCGTGCGACAATCGTCGCTACGTCGGTCCGCGCGTCCTAATCTCCCACATCGCTCTGCCTCGCGGTTGAGTGTTTTGTTCATAATATTTCGTTTTGTAACCATTCATAACTATTACACGTGTATGTTCTCAAAACCATGAGTTTTGTCGACTTTCCCCACTTTTCTCATATGCCAATGTGGGATCAACCGAATAAGCACCAGCATAATTACAAACATAAATTACATGAATAAAACCAACGAAGCAAGTTAGCGATAATAATGAACAATAGTGCTAAACAACACCATACCAGTGGTCGTGGGATGGCACGATCGTAGTGGCAGGAGGATAGCTCATTTATATTTTCCTTTGTTGCACTAGGGTCGTTAGTTTGTGAGCACGAAAGAAATGGATATCGGAGATTTTTTCCTGCCAATATAAAATATTATCTTAGCCACATCACGGAAATGTCTATAAAGTAGAGTTTGTGAGACTGCGATGCCGCGCACTCCGTGACTATGTTAAATTCATAAACTTTGCTTTTTGATTAAATGTTACTTTAACGTTGGTATTTAATTTTTACAGTATTGTTATCTTATCGTGCGATCCGTGTGTGTTTTAGTATAAAATGTTAGCTATCCCATAGCAACACACAGACACGCTTATATAAACTGAACTAATTGATCGAACGAAGGAGTGCCCAACTGTCCAACCGATTTATCATTTGTCGTCGCTTGGTTCGGCCTGTTAAACTTGACACTGCAAACGACATGGACAAAAAAAACTAACACACGAGGATCATGAGATGCGCCATGCGTGCAATGCATCCGCATATCTGGCTGCTTTGTTGACTTGACGGACCAAGGAAGATCAGCATACATCAGCAAAGACGTGGTAAGAGAGGAATTTGACGCTCGCGTCGCTCACATCAATGCGTTGTGTTGCCGGTCATAGAATCTCTCTTGGCGAAGTCGATAAATAATTAAATATGATGGTAGCGCCAAAGTTGGGTACTTGTAGGTAAGTACAGGTTTAAGCCACTGATTTGGCATGACTGTTCATTGTTTTATTTATTTCGAGATTTAATGATGTTATTTTTTACTGATAAGCGATATGTTGTTGACAACGAGCTGTATGTGATGGTTTCGTCAATCTCAAGATGCGAGCTCTAGAAAAATAAATAATTTGGAACTAATTTTTTTTTATAGTTTTTTAGTACCATATTTGAATATTTTTTCCAGATGTTCCATATTTGAATATAAGGAGGGGCAGTACCATCATGTATTTGATACCCGATAATTTGAATAGTTAGGTTGGGTATTGAATTCGAATAGTTGCATTAGACATCAACGAGACGTGTTCTGCAGGCCCAGGCAATTTTCAGCTCGGTGACTGAAGTGGACTTTCTTATTTTTCTCTAAAATTTTATAGATACGACACTCGAGATACCAACAAACTTTAATTTTTCAATTTACTTAAGCATTCCTTATAACTTTGAAGTAAAACAAAATATGCAAATAGTCAAGTTAATGTAACTTATTTAACTGAAGTTTCAATTTTGAGAAAAAATTTTAGGGGCTTGAATAAAATTTAAGCACAGGTCTTAAGTACAAGAACATCATAAAAGTTTAAATTTGACTAGTTGATTGATTACTATGCCTCTTTGCGACCATCTATAATTTTTTTCTTTTTAATATGTTAGAATGCCATGTGGTCAAGCATTTATACATATCTAACTATTTATATCTATGCAACTTGTGATTTATATTGCTGGATGGACTTGTGGAGTGGTCAGATCATAAAAAAAATATATGACGTAATTAGAAAAGTTTTGATCACCCCCGAAATTCGGCCAAAATTTCGCCGAATTTTTTTAGAGGCTTAGACATGAAGTATGTTTTTCTAGAAAATAAATCTAAACAAAATATTAGCATGATTTATGACTATGCATCTATTAGAGGTAGAAGAATACGCAATATAAACAATAGAAAATATGAGTCTAGAGTTATATAGCACATGCATTGGTGTAATGCGAAATTTCAGATTTTTCTTTCAGCCACCTCCGAAATTACCGAAATTTGTGAAACTTCGGTGAAATTGTGAACCTTGATATAGTTGCTTTTACTCGGTGTGTGAAAAAATATTTCAAATAGGCATTGCTCGTCCCATATTTGATACGTAATTATTTATTTATTTACATTTGTAATATAGACCATATGTGGCCATATCTGTATCTGATATTATCTATATATCTGATTATGACAGAAAATGTGAAATCAAGTATGGTTCAGCGATGCTCAATGGCATACGATTTGATTGCACCTCTACTTAACATTTTAAATGTGGAGAAAGGGCAACTCAACTACAATTTGGATGCCATGTTTCTTCACCTCTGAAATGGCACAATTGCTACCAACTCAGTCATGGATGATAACTAGCACTGTATAAGAATGTAGCTATCGAGTTCCATTTTTTTAGATAACGGTACAAATGTTCCAGCCTCTATCATAACTATCGAGTTCCATGAAGGAGGCATGTTTTTTCTTTTCAAGTAAAATGAAAACATGATAAACATTTCTTTTATGTTTTTTTTGCTCCTTTGATGGATCAATGGAGAACGATGAACAAGAACTGAGACGAAAGTGTGAATTCCAAAAGAAAACGAATGTACATATTCTAAAACTAAGAAATGGTACATTAATTGAATATACATGTGCACCATTGCAGAGAGCGTAGAAATTCGTGCTGCTCTCCGGCTGGCAGGTCGGCCGCATGTCCCGTTCCGGTGCCGTGCTACGGTAACGGTATAGTTTTCCAAACATGCGGCACTGGCACTACACGGCACTAGCACTACACGGCACGGCACTATCAGGCACGGTGTCACTGCCGTGCCGTGTAGTGCTACCGTGCCCAGACTCTGGCCCAGGCACGGCACTAAAGCCCTCAGATAGTGCCGTGCCGTGCCCAGCGGACTAGTGCCGTGCCTTGGCACTAAAACAATATCACCACTTCAACAGATCAGAATCAAAAGAACAGTTCAAAAACAAACTTGAAATCTAATGAATCTGAAATCACAAAGAAGAAATCTGATGAATCTGAAATCAAAAGAACAGTCCTCGTCGTCTCCGGTCATCCCGCAGAGGCGCAGCTCGTCGTTGATGGTCATGGAGAGACCGATGTCCTCCTGCTCGTCCGACATCTCGTCGTCGCCGGCCTCCGGTCCCTCAACGCCAATGCCTACCAAAACCAAGAACAACAAGAACACCTAGGGTTAATAGAAGATCATGAAGAAATCAAGAAGAAGAACAAAAACGAACAGATCTAGGATTACGGCTCACCTCTCTTGACGGAGCACCAGAGACAACGGCGACGACGACGTCGCGGAGACCCGACACCCTGGTACCTCAACGCATCAGAGCGGAGCCCCAGTGATGCCGGACTCCGGCGAGGTCGATGAGAGCGACGAGACAGAGACGAAGACGAACGGTGGTGGATCTCGACGAGAAAGCTACATCGACGGTCAGGGAGAAGGAAGAGTGGTGTAGAAGTGCCGTGTGCCCGTGCCAGCAACCGCCGCCTTAACCAGCCATCGGATGGCGAAAAGAAGAGAGGAGAGCGGCTAGGGTTTCAGTCGATGGGAGAGGCGGAGAGCTCGATGCGGCTGGAATGGGGACAGGGGACGGAATGACGAATGAGATAGGGTTTGGAAAGCCAGGAGGCGGAGAGCCAGGAGCGGCGCCGCGGCGGCTGGCTTATATAGCCGTCCCACCCGACCCCTAGATCCAACGGTCAGCAGGCGGGGGGGCTCCATCCAACGGCTCGAGGCCGTGCCGCCCCCGTGCTGGCCGCTGAAGCGGGCCGTGCCCATGCTATGCCATCGTGCTGGCATCGCGGCCCAGGCACGGGCACGGGGCCGTGCCGTGCTTGGCACGGGCACGGTAGCTGCCGGGCCGGGCCGTTTTCGTACCGGGCCAAATAGTACCGTGCCCGTGTCGGCCCAGCGGGCTTGGCCCGTTTGGAAAACTATAGGTAACGGTAAGTCGGTAAGGCTAGCTGATACCCTGCTCCAAGTCGACTCCTTCGCTGGCGCCGGCACCGGCACAGGAGCAGGAAGGAGTCGCTCCGGCCCCTTGCCTTCCGAAGCTCCACAGCCTCCTGAACGATCTCAGCCTCGCCGAGCCCAGTGACTTGGCAGCGTCGCACGGGGTCAGCGTCGGCGTCGGCACAGCCAGCTCCGGGATCTCGATCACCAAGGTGGATGGGTTCGTGGGGACGTCGGTGGTCATAGTCTCCGCGGTGACCGCGCCATGGTCAGACACCCCGAGAAGCATGCTGGCGGGGAGATTGACGGTGGCGTAGTTCGCGGGCTCCGGCGCGACCGGTGGGAGAGCCAAGGAAGGCGCCAGATGAGGAGATACGTCGTCGGGCTTGGAGACGGTGAGGCGGCAGAGCGGGCAGGTGGTGTGGGAGGCGAGCCACATGTCGACGCACTCTGCGTGGAAGCCGTGGCCGCAGCAGGGCAAGAACCGGGCCTCCTCGCCGTCCTGGAGTTCGGCGAGGCACACGGTGCACTCCACCGCGTACCGCTGCCCCTTGTCCGAACCGTGGTACACCGTGACAGGCAGCGAGCGCAGCAGCTCCGGGTCGACGCCCCTGCTGGCCCGTGTCCCACCGCTGCTACCACCGGCGGACGGCCCGCTTCCTGCGTCCCTGTCCCTGCTGGCGTTGAAGCAGTACTGGAGGGAAGCGAGGACGAAGGCGAAGATGACGAAGAGCAGGAGGATGCCTGCGACGGTGAGGATGCTGCCAAGCGTCATGGCGGCGACCGCACCCGCCGTGGGCGCCACGGGTGTGTCGGCGTCGGCGCCGCTCGGCCACGAACCGTGCGCTGCGCCGGCGCCTTCGTCGGAACCTTGCGCCATGCTGTTTAATTTCTCGATGCCTGGATGCAACCCGGTTGGCAAGCTTGCCGGTGTGCCGTGTGTGTATGTAGCGAGTGAGCACTCGAAAGTCGAAAGTGGGGAGCTCGAGCATATATATAGGACTCCGGTTCGTTCATCCATACAAGGATGGCTGACGCGGCGACGGACCGGCGGGACGGAAGGCGCCGAGAAGTTGTGGCGAGCTTGCGCTTGCACCGGCTGACCGGCGGCTGCGGCTGCTGGCAAGGCTTGGGGGCCAAGGCTATTGTAGGACTAGGACACCTGGCCAGACGTAGTTGGATCTTGGTCGCGTGGAGGTGTGGTGCACTCCACTTGGTTTGTGTCTCGTCCGAGCTTGACTTTCAAAAGTTTCCAACTCGGCCGGCTGCTAGCCTGCTACTGATTATTAATCAGTTGGGCTTGCTATTCCGCCCTCCATCAAAGGAACTAGCTAGGGTAGTGTCTCTTGGCAATTGTGTGTCTAGAATCGTGCGAGGGAACTCTATCCCTCATGTGCCACCTGCCCGCTGTCGCTGATGGCTCCTGCCATGGCCGCTCCAGACATGGTGCCAACTAGTCAGTGTTAGTATTTCTTATGTTGAAGTAGTTAATTCTGCAAGCACAATGAAGATCATTGTAGCACTTCACCTAAAAGTATTCCAAGGTGTCGTATTTAAATTCCTAGGGAAAACGATGGCTAAGAGTGTTTGATAATAACGTGTCCTTGATTATACCATAAATAATATGCCAAAGTCTAGCGGGGTAAAGATAGATAAAAGAGTAGTGTGACACACAGAAGTTCCTAAGCAATAAAGGATAGAAGGCATAGCTAACTTGGAAGGACAACGAGTACGTACTAAGGTCCCTATATTCCACTCTACTACTATGGTTTTAGTAAGATCAAAAAGTTAGCAAAGATATGGATAGTGTTAGGTTCATAAACCCGGGGTCCTCAATAGGCCCGCTTCACAGCAAAAGCTCGGCCCAGCAGACGGCGTAGCGACAACGCGCGCCTCCCGGGCCGGCCCAGATACCTAACGACAGGCCGGGAGAACGATCCGGTCCCCGATCGGAAGGCCTGGCCAAGGTGGAGACATCGTTCGACTCCGGCCTCCTTTTCCGACCGGGAATACACCGAACCTCTGCTTGCACCTCTTCCCCGACCGACACGGTCGGGGCCGACCGGGAACGACCGACCGGGGACGCCCGCTTGGTAAAGGCCGGGGGATCAGGCGGAGCAGATAAGGTAAGGCGCTCAAGTCAAACAATAATACCGAGGACCGTACCCTGTCATACCCTGCGCACCTACAGGATGATGCTACCAGGCCATGCCAGATAGGTGCTATGCAACCTTCTAGGCGTGTCAGAACCCAAACAGTGTTATAGGCGCCGACATTTGCCATACCAGGCGAACACGGTAAAGCCGGCCACATGCATCTGGGCATGAACAGTATTGCGAGCGCCGACGATCGTCTCGTACCCGATAGCGTGGGCAACAAGACTAGGTAGCACACGTATACATTCTCTCTTTCTCTGACTTGTAAGGCCATCCCCTTCAACTACAAAAGGGGATGCGCTCTCTCCTCTTTGAAAAAGGTTCTCTTTGGCTCTCTCTGGATCTGGCTCTAGAGATCTTGAGCATTCAAACAACTCCACAGCTCTAGAACTCAACAGTTACACAGAACATACGCTCTAATACTTAGCGCACGTTAGAGCCCCCATCACTCTCGGCTCTTCGGTTCAGAGTCCGACCGAGCCTCTAACACCCCCCTTCTTATTCCTACTCGTTTGTAACCCCACATCAAACTTCAAGCACCTGGGCTTAGGAATAAAGTCACCGACTGACTGAAACTGGACGTAGGGCACATTGCCTGAACCAGTACAAATCCTGTGATTGAATGCTAGGCCACATCCAATCACAACGCACGGTAAGACTACAAATATTTACTTGTTGGTCACTTTTCGCATCGACAGTTGACACCGTTCGTGGGAAGGACGCCGTGCGTACACGCTTTTGGTCATCGGATGGCCCATCTTTCCACCATCTTCGACATGACGGGCTCAAGAGATACGATTCACTTTGGCTCGCTAGAGTTTCCCACGCTCCCACCTATTGGGATGTGGGTTCCTCCCGTCTTCAAGCCGTTCCAGACCTTCCTCTTCGGAAGTCTGGACTTCATCGCCGATCGGTTCGGCGTACTTCACCTTCGCAAGGAGACACTTGTCCCGACGCCCACTGGAGGAGGAGCGCCTTCTACTGGCCTCGGGCCACTCGACGACCTCAATGTCGAGACACCAGCGCTTCGCCTCGAGCCCATGCTAGGCTCAAACTCCACGGTGAGTAACATACATATTGTTCTTTATTCACTATTTAACACTTTCCGCTGACTCTCCGGAGGGACCCCGTTGTCCCCACCACGACCGCCGTGCGACCGGTTCCCCTACGGCTTCGCGTCCCCTGCGGACATGTATGCGCGAGGGCTCCGAAGGATGCTGACGCCGCCCCCTCTCACATCCGAATTCGTGTGGATGGCGGGCTACGCTCCTGCCTCCTTTTACGACCTCGTGGATGACGAGGTCGAAAGCGACGGTTCCAGCATCGGCAATGTTGTGGCACCTGGCCACCCTCTGTCCTAGGAGTGCGCTATGGTGGACGCTCTGGGACATCCATCGGTGGTAGCAGAGTCTCTACAGACTCAAACCCCTCCGGACCCTCGTGCGGAGGCCCTCGCGCGTGCGTAGAAGCATGACGAGGAGTTACGACAAAGGCGGTAGAGCCAGCCGCCATCTGTGCTGGTGCGCTCGGCGCAGCACGCTGCGCCACGCGTGCGTAACCCAGCAAGCGGCGCCTAAGGTCACGCCTGTTAGGTCCAGCGCAACATCCTAGATGCAGGGAACGACCCCCCCTTAGTTCGCTCGAGTTGTCCAGAACATCGCTGCTGCGGCGATGCTTCTGCGTGGCCTCCCCGAGCTGGGCGACCCCCAGGAGCAAGCAATCCACCAGAACCTCTGGGCGCTGGTGGAGATCGTCGCCGTTCAATAGGCAGAGAGCTCCGCGTCGCGACACCAGCTCGTGGCCTCTTGCCCCACCGAGGGAATGGGGCCTTACCAGTCCAATCGCTCCGTCCACTCATCGCTACAGTTGTCGGGCGTGGGGCAGGAGGCCGCGGCTGCACCATAGCCCGACCTGCCACTCGCTCCACACCGACCACCTGTGCGTGAACGGCTCGAGCCGAACCTTGAGGCTCGCAGGGTCATCAACAATCAGCACCATGCCCGACGCGATGATGACGCCCATCAAGTGGCGGCGAGAGCAGGCGGCACGGCCCCGGCCTGACCATCGGGGAGTATGGGGACACGCATCCCAGGCATGGGGCCGACCAAACGACCAGAGCCCCAGCCCGAATGGCCTAGGGCCACGGGCCTTTGGTCGTCGCATCTAGAGAGCGCCGTTCCCACAGCGCTTCCGACCACCCACCAACATCGCCAGATACACCGGGGAGACGAATCCCGATATATGGCTCGAGGACTTTCGACTCGCCTGTCGAGCCAGAGGGGTGTATGATGACCACTTCATCATTCAATACCTCCCCATCTGTGTGGGGGAGCATGTTCGAGCATGGCTCAAATTCCTCCCGCCCGACAGCATCCGTGACTGGGCGGATCTCAAGAGGGTCTTCATCGGGAATTTCTTGGGGACATATGTCTGTCCTGGGAATTCCTGGAACCTCAAGAGCTGCCAGTAGAAGCCCAATGAGTCCCTACGGGATTACATCCATAGGTTCTCAAAACGGTGCAACTCCCCTTCCTGATGTCGTTGACGCGGACGTCATCAGCGCATTCCTCTCTGGGACAACCTGTGAGTCCTTGATCCACAAGCTTGGTTGTCTGAAGCCCCGTACCACCCGTGACCTGCTCGACATCACCACGAACCACGCCTCCGGGGAGGAGGCGGTCGGGGCGGTCTTCAGCGGTGGTCGGATACATCGGCCATCTCCAACATGGGCTCTATACGCAACGTCAAGGGCGTACAGAGGCTCACTAGCTGTTTGGCCATCCTAAGCCGGTTCATCTCCCGATTAGGGGAACGGGGGATGCCTCCCTATAAACTTCTCAAAAAGATAGACGCATTTGTCTGGACAGAAGAGGCACAACGGGCCTTGGAAAGCCTCAAAGCAACACTAATGTCAGCCCCAGTCCTCGTTGCTCCTGAACAGGGAGAACCCTCCTCCTTTACATTAAGGCAAACAACCACGTTGTGAGTGCCGCCCTTGTTGTCAAAAGGGAGGAGCCAGGACACCCCCAGAAGGTTCAACCTCACCGACGCCAAGGCTCGATACCCCCAGGTGCAGAAGCTTCTATACGCCATGCTGATGGTGACCCGGAAGCTCCTGCACTACTTCATTGACCACAAGGTCATGGTCGTCACCTCATACCCGTTGGGAGGCATCATCCACAACAGCGATGAAGCGGGACGAATCTCCAAGTGGGCTCTCGAGCTCATGGGTCATGACATCAGGTATATTCCTCGCACTGCTATCAAGTCTCAGGCTCTTGCTGACTTCATCGCCGAATGGATGGAAGTCCAGCTCCCGACCCCGGACGTCACCCACGAGTACTAGACAATGTACTTCGACGGGTCGGTAATGGCGCCCGGCTCGGGGGCTGGAGTGGTTCTGATCTTCTTGGATGGGAGTAGGCTCCGCTATGCGATCCATCTTCATTTTTTGTCCTCAACAACGCCGCGGAGTACAAGGCCCTCATCAATGGACTCCGCATCGCCGTCGAGCTCGGTGCTACACGGCTGTATGTCCGCAACGACTCAGAGTTGGTCATCGACCAAGTCATGAAGTTGTACTCCTACAAGAGCCCTCTCATGGCAGCATATTGCTAGGAGGTGCGCAAGCCCGAGGGCAAGTTCCAAGGGATCGAACTGCATCATGTCCCCCAAAAGGACAACGATACCGCCGATTTCCTCGCAAAATTGGCTGTTAGGCGGG